CTCTCTCCCTCTCACACTTCACTCTCTCTCCACTCACTCCCTTCCGGTCCCTCCTTCTCTCTCTCCCACCCTCACTCCCTCTACCTCCCTCCTTCTCTTTCTCATAACCTCTTCTTTTCCTCCTTGGCCTTGCAACTAGTTCTCTCTCGCTCACCTTTCTCTCCCACTGCTTTCTCTCTCTCACTCTCTCCTCTCCTCTCTCTCTCCCTCTTCCCACTCTCTCTCCCACCTCACTCTCTTTACTCACCCCATTTCGCGCCCCCCCCCCGCTCACTCTCTCTCTCTCTCACTCAACCTCTTTTCTTTATTTCCTTGCCTCTGTCAACCTAAAGCTCTCTCTCTTTCTTTTTCCACTCACTCCCCTTTCCCCCTCCTTCCTCTCAACCCACTCACCTCTTTCTTTTTCCTTGCCTTGTAACTAAGCTTTCTCTCTCTCTCTCTCTCTCTCTCTCTCCTTTTCCCACCACTCGTGCCTACTTACCCATTCGCCCCCCCCACCTTCCCGCCTCACTCCTCTCTCTCTCACTCCACCTCTTTTCTTTTTCCTTGCCTGTAAAATGGTCTCACTTGTCGTGTAACTAAGCGTCTTCTCTCTCCTTTTCTCCACTCACTCCCTCTCCCCCTCTCCTCACTCACCCCAACTCACCTCTTTTCTTTTCTTGCCTTGTAACTAAGCTTTCTCCCTCTCTCTCCGCTTTCGCCACTCACTCTTCTTATTACCCATTCGCCCTCCCCCCCCCACCTCCCGCCTCACTCTCTCTCTCTCTCACTCACCTCTTTCTTTTTCCTTGCCTTGTAATAACTCTCTCTCCTCTTTTTTTCTTCCCTCACCCCTCTCCCCCTCCCCTCTCACCCAACCTCACCTCTTTCTTTCCTTGCCTGTAACTAAGCTTTTCTCTCCCTCTCTCTCCTTTCCCACTCACTCTCTTACTCACCCATTCGCCGCCCCAAGCCCCGGCCTCCTCTCCCTCTCTCTCTTCAATTCACCTCTTTCTTTCCTTGCTTGTAACTTAAGCTAATAAAACGTGATTCCCACTGATATCGACTGCTGCCGTCTTGCGAATCCCCGCAATTGAATTTATTGGTTGTCTTGTTTTCGAAAATTCTTCCCGAGGCTTCAACCAGCTTGCTCGGACGGGCGGCACGTGATGGGAAGGGGTGGGGAGAGAGGGGGTGGAGAGGGGAGGAGGTGGGGGAAGAGAGGGAGTGAGGGAGAGATGGGGAGAAGGGAGGAGAGGGGGAGAAGGAAGGTCGGAGTGAGGGGAGGGAGGGGGAAGGAGGGGAGAGGTGAGTAGAGGGGAGAAGTAGAGGAGGTGTGAGAGGGGAGAAAGGTGAGGAAGAAAGGGAGGAGAGAGGGGAAGTGAGGAGAAGGGGGAAAGAGGGGAGATGGGGGAGACACAGGAGAAGGAAGAGGGTGGAAGAAGTGGAGAAGAGCAAAAAGGGGAAGAAGGAGAGGGAGGGTGGAGGAGAACGGAGACAGAAGGTGAGGAGGGGGAAGCAAGGGAGAAGGGGAGAAGCGAGGAGGAGGGAACAGGAAGGAACGTAAGGAAGAGGAGGAGGGAAATGGGGGAAAATGTGTGGGAGGCAAGAGGGAGGAGAATGGAGGAGAAGCCGCGCTCCCGCCGGGGGAGGGACAGGGAAAGTTGGGGTGGACAACGAGGGGAGCATCTAGAGTGTGGGGTGGGTGGGGGGAGGGCGGGTAGTGGCGAGAGGTCAAAGGTCAAAGTTACAGGCGTGTGGTCCATAGGTGGAAAACATTGGCAAATATGCCGATTGTGGGCGTTTACAGGGCCGTGTCTTGTCCTTTCTTTTTTTCCTCTTTCATTGGTCCTTTTCCTTTTCTTTTCTTTCTGTTAGTGAGTTTCGACAGGTTTATAGAGATGTGGATGTGTTTAGATAAACCACACACACACACACACATACCACACACACACACACACACACACACATAAACAACAATCAACACAAGCACACCACACAAAACACACACACACAACAAACACACCACACACAAACATACCCACACACACAAACACAACAACCCCAAACCTTCGCACAAACCACCAACACACATAAACACGCCAACCTAAACACACCAACACACTCTTACACCCAACGCGTGCATAAGCGCGATAATCCACTCCCACAAGCCCCGCGCGACCGACCCCCCCCCCCCCCACGCCCCTCCCCCCCCACTTACACATGTTTTTAAAAAATTAAGGAGGCGTTGGTCCGTGTAGCCAAGAATTTTGTGGGATTACCACCCTCTTACAACGCCCATGATACGATAAAATGGCCTTTAACATGCCAGCCGGACATGGAGAGTAAAACTAAAATGCAGGTATTTTTCGCCGTCCCCGAGGAATATCTGAGGAATTTGTGGCCAAGGTTAATATATGTGGAAAAAAAGGAAAAAAAAAAAAATTCAAATTGCCAAAGTAAACACAATTAGATGCCCATGGTGGTTTTATAGGACGTTGCGCAATAAGAGAACTTGGAG